CCCCTCATACTGACACGCGGTCCCTGTACCGTCCCCTCATACTGACACGCGGTCCCTGTACCGTCCCCTCATACTGACACGCGGTCCCTGTACCGTCCCCTCATACTGACACGCGGTCCCTGTACCGTCCCCTCATACTGACACGCGGTCCCTGTACCGTCCCCTCATACTGACACGCGGTCCCTGTACCGTCCCCTCATACTGACACGCGGTCCCTGTACCGTCCCCTCATACTGACACGCGGTCCCTGTACCGTCCCCTCATACTGACATATGTCTCCTGACGTCTGTGGGGTCCCTCCTACACAGGGACTCATGTGATGGAAGGTTCCGGAAGAATGTTGGTCACGGCGGTTGGCGTCAATTCACAAACTGGAATCATTTTCACCTTGTTGGGGGCCAGTGAAGTGGAGGATGAAAAGAAGGACAAGAAAGGTCAGTGAAGGGATTGTGGCCCCGTGCCGTCATGTCTTCCCGTGTGTGTTGTCCCATGTGTGGTCCTCAGTCCATCGGTGGTAGGCTGTAGATGAGGGAGGTCTGCAAAGCTCCATCCAATCATTTTATTTTCTTCTTCTTCTCCATATTGTCCCCGCGATTCCCCGGAAACATCTCCCTCTTGTTTTCATCATCATCACACAGGGAAGAAAATGCAGGATGGACCCAATCTACCAGGTATACGTCCCCCACTTCCTGTACACCCAACGTCCCCCACTTCCCCTTCACCCAACGTCCCCCACTTCCCCTTCCTGTACACCCAACGTCTCCCACTTTCCCTTCCTGTACACCCAACGTCCCCCACTTCCTGTACACCCAACGTCTCCCACTTCCCCTTCCTGTACACCCAACGTCCCCCCCTTCCCCTTCCTGTAGCCCCAACGTCCCCCACTTCCTGTACACCCAACGCCCCCCACTTCCCCTTCCTGTACACCCAACACCCCCCACTTCCCCTTCCTGTACACCCAACGTCCCCCACTTCCCCTTCCTGTACACCCAACGTGTGAGAGAGAGGAAGCAGTGTATATAGACTGTCCACAATCATCCAGCTGGGCTTCCATTACATTCAGGGTCAGGAGGGGGCTGTGTCCGGTCTGCTGGGTTAGAGTTAGGGGTTAGGGTTAGAGTTAGGGGTTAGAGTTAGGGGTTAGGGTTAGGGGTTAGGGGTTAGGGTGTAGAGTTAGGGGTTAGGGTTAGAGTTATGGTTAGAGTTATGGGTTAGAGTTAGGGGTTAGAGTTAGGGGTTAGAGTTAGGGTTAGAGTTATGGGTTAGGGGTTAGGGTTAGGGGTTAGGGTTAGAGTTATGGGTTAGGGGTTAGAGTTAGGGGTTAGAGTTAGGGGTTAGGGTTAGAGTTATGGGTTAGAGTTAGGGGTTAGAGTAGGGGTTAGAAGAGTTAGGGGTTAGAGTTAGGGGTTAGAGTTAGAGGTTAGAGTTAGGGGTTAGGGTTAGAGTTAGGGGTTAGGGTTAGAGTTAGGGTTAGAGTTAGGGGTTATGGTTAGAGTTAGGGGTTATGGTTAGAGTTAGGGTTAGGGTTAGGGTTAGGGGTTAGAGTTAGGGGTTAGGGTTAGAGTTAGGGGTTAG